GAATATGAATCTGGGACACTGGAACGGAAGAGGCCTGTTAGTATGACTGTAATGGAAGGGGATTTATTGAAGAAGGAAAGGTATGTTTCATTCTCGGGTTAGGTTTCAATTATTAGCCCACTCCTGAGAACTGGGCCACTCAGGAGGCTGTAATCAGACACACTTTTATTGGTCTCAGGAGCAGAATTTCATGGCAATACTATAGGTAATAGTGATTTATTTCCCCCTGTGTTGTTGCAGCCTGAGGAAGGTTCAAAGGTAATGTACTGGTATTTGCTTCCAGTTACACTCTGTGCATGATAAAAACCAAGCAGATAATTTCTGCTTCCAGTTACCACTTTCCTATTATGGATTTGGGGGGTCTAAAATCCACTGAAACAGAAGTGTATAGTAGCGTCTATCAGTATCTAACTTTTGATATTCCATGGCTTCTTTTTCAAAGCCCATAAGCTGAGGTGGTGTTACCTGGTGCCTTCATGATAAGACTTCTGAGTTGATGATGGTACAGTATGCCACAGCAAACAGTAGAATGCTAAAAAAATCAAAATAAACCGTATGTTTTCCCATATAACATGTAGTGTAACGTTCATTTATTATCACCCATATCACGAATAATCAAGCGATGTGCTGTTTTGGTTTTAGCTGTTTATGCAAATGTTAAATGGTTACCTGAATGTTAACAATGGCTAGCCACATGCAAATTTATCACTACTGATAGAGGAAGAAGAAAATCAGTTCAAGATTCACTGCCTTTAACACAATAAGAACAAAACTAAATTCTAGAATGAATGTGCTGTACGCATTCTAAAACCTGTTAGAATTTTAGTCCATTTATCCGTAGTTCTCCTTTAAACACAAATCATAGCGTATATCCAGTGGCTTTATTTGTCTGTTTTTAAATCTGTACTGCAGCTTAGTGTGTAATAGAAACAAAATTAATGTGGCAAAATATATTCAGTGAGGTATGTAAGGAAATGTATATTCTCTGGTATGTAAGGAAATGTATGTATTTACGTGTAAAATTACTGAGTGGTTCAACCTCATTGTCATCAATGTCTGTCTTCAAATGTAATTGAGTAGTTTGTTCCACTTAGGTTTAGCTAAGCCCTCTGTGTGGATAAGCCAAACAGTGTTGCATGTCTTAACATCGATGGTGTTACACGCAGAAAGTGGAAGCTTTTCTTGTTGCTGCTTTGCATGCTAAGCGACAGGGGTTGCATTTGTCGCTGTGGGTTATAACATCCAATTGTCCTGTTGCTTTAGTTACCTGGTGTTGGCTGGCGTGGTGTGTTTACTCTCTCTTCTTTCTGTAGCTTTAGTGTCAAGGTTATGGACTTCCAAGCGAATCCTCGGAGATGTGGCACTATAAATAGAAAGCACACATCCCCAGCTTTCCAGCCACCACTTCCACCCACAGAGGCTGGCGTGCTGGCTCAGTCTGGAACGGAGCAGCACTCACAAGCTCCTGTGGCTGAAACAAGCCCAGTGGGTGCTGGTTTTGCTCTCTCTGCTGGCACAGCAGAACAGTTACAAAGTCAAGGAAATGAGGATGTCAGGTAAGAGGCATGGCTTCTGCTGGCAGTGGCTTAGCAGGCTGCTTCAGCAGCAAACTGATGTGTCAACTCTGTCTGCTTCACAAGGCACCTCTTCTTGATGGAATGCCTGTTGTCATGCGTGAAGCCTTTTCAGACATGGGCAGAAGCAGGAGCATTCTTGCCATGTGTATTGTTCCAGAATTGATCTTCTAAAGTAACATACATTGCTCTGTATGTTCCAGAAGTGATCTTCTAAAATAAGAGAATTCTTGGGGGGGAAAAAACACGATGATGAAAAATACTAAAAAAGACTAGAAACTACCTGTATTGACCTTTCCAAATTATACTCTAGAGGTGTCTACACAGTACGACTATCAGTTTGCTGCTGAAAGAACAAAACCTACCAGTGGCAATACTAGAAACCTGTTGGTCTTGTTTGTTATTTGTACATGTTATCATGTTATCTGGATTTGTCTTTTTTTTTTTTTTTTTTTTTTTGGTCTGTAGAAAGTATTAGTGATGACCAGACTTGCTAGAAAACTGGAAGTCAGTTTATCATACTTCAATATTAGTTTCTTTAGGACAAGCGTGTGTACAGGCTTTTTTGCGACTTGATTGCACAAAGTTTCAATAGTAATTATGTCCCTGGTATTAGTATACATGGACTCCAAGACTAATGGCAGCAGCCTTGACTCTTCCTTTCACATGTGGTGAAAGCAGAACTTTGCTTTCAATATTCTGTGGTCTAAGAGATATAACAAACACATGTAAAGGCCTGTAGTGCTCTACAGACATCAACCCCTTGCATAGCATCCTATGGGAAAGCACCACCGCGGAGTTCGATGCAGCATTGGCTCTTTTGCATATAGCTTTTGTTCTCAGGTGACATTTCTACACAAACAACTTCTTTGGAAATCCCCTGCAGACTAATATTTCCTCCGCAGGTGTCTTTGGTGGCATAGGCAGCTAAAACAAAACCTTGAGAGTGTCTAAAAGCTGCATTTAAAATCTGCACAAACTCTGTGTTCGAGTACTTGCAACTTACTGACAGCAGCTGGAGAAATTAGGATTGCAATGTTGTTGTGGTTTAACCCCAGCCGGCAACTAAACCCCACAGAGCTGGGGAGAGAATCAGAAGAGTAAAAGCGAGAAAACTCATGGGTTGAGGTAAAGGCAGTTTAAGAGGGAAAGCAAAAGCCGTGCACACAAGTGAAGCAAACTAAGGGTTTCATTCCCTGCTTCCCATCCGCAGGCGGGTGCTCGGCCATCCCCAGGACAGCCGGGCTCCATCACACGTAACAGTGACTTGGGCAGACATCACTCCCAACGTCCCCCTCTTCCTTCTTCTTCCCCAACTCTATACACTGAGCATGACACCATACAGTGGGGGATACCGCTGGGCTCAGTTGGGGTCAGCTGTCCCAGCCGTGCCCCCTCCCAGCTTCTTGTGCCCCTCCCCAGCCACTCGCTGGTGGGGTGAGGAGCAGAAAAGGCCTTGGCTCTGTGTAAGCGCTGCTCAGCAGGGATGAAAACATCCCTGTGTTATCAACATTATTCAGTGAAGACTGCCAGTGCATAGCAGGAGGAGGGGGCACTGCCTAGTACCACCTCTGCTGGTTCATACTCTGGTGCTGTGTTTGCCCCCCAGTTCTGTTGTCTTCGTAGCCAAAGGTCAGGAAGAGCTGAGTTGTCCTGATCTGAATCTCAAAGGTTTTGCAGGGGTTGGTCCCTTGAGACAAGTTCTGGTCTCCTAGCAAGGTAAAAGCTTAATTCCAGGTAGAGTGGAGAGACAATTTCAGCCAGCCAATGACAGAAAAAAACCCTCTGCGCTCTCCACACCTGGCTGTTGCAGTCCCTGGATCCCCCCGAGGGCTTCCAAAGGCTCCAGGGACTTCAGTGGTGAGGACTATGTCTGCCTCACCTGTGTACTACACACAGCAAGTTGGTTCATGTCCTTTGGTTTTTTCTGGCAGAGCCTCACAGTTTTCCATCGCTTGGTCCTTAGTAGCTGTATCTGCCAGATAACTGCCAGCAAATTGGATGTGATGCTGTGACAGAGTATTTTGAAGAGGCTAACAGTTATAGGGGCAATAGGTGTATTTGGATGAGGAAATTGGAGAAGTAACTTTATATGAACTTTCATGTTGGGACTCTGTTTTGAAGGATCTACAAATGCACTGAGGGTGCATTAGCATGGAGACTGCACTCCTCTGTGACACTGCAGAACTGCTGGGATTCCTGATTTAATTTTGGTAATTAATCTTTTGTACGGCCTTGCCTAAAACCTACTTGCCACTTGTTTGAGGGGTCATAGCCCTGTTCAGTCTGTTGGGAAATTCCAGCCAGTGCAGAAGTTTTTTATGAAGTGTTTGAGGGTCAGAACTATAGCACAGTTCATAATGCAGACCTGAGCGGGTGCAGCTGATCTGGGCAAGGTGTTTTACTATCATCTTCTAATTTAGGATTTTTAATTTTCAGTACCTCAAAATCTAAGGACAACACATCTTCAGCTACTCCTCCACCCGTGAGAAATGGCGGGCACGCAGGCACTGTCCAGAACCAGTCAACAAGTAGCACTAATCAGCTTTCTGTTAATCAGCCACAGAATGCAGCAGGTCCCAGTCCCCATTCAATGAGGAGAGGTGTGTTTTTCATTTGGTTTTCAAGCCACTAAGTTCTAATTCTTTATGTACTGCAAAAACGCTTACTAAAACAACTTTATCAGTATCTCTTCCTTTATTGCAGACAATGGTTTAATTTGCTTTCATTTCACTAAGGCCTCGCTAAATGCGTCTTTGACTTTTGGACTCTCTCATTAATGCTGGTAGTAATGTTACAAATGCTGTTTAACAAAATCAGTCAAAGGTTATTGATCAGTGAACCTGTGACGCATTTCTGTAGCTTTCTACTGATCCCGCTTTTATTTGATAATTCACCATTTTATTTTGATAATGTACTTGAGTATTCTTTTGTGCTGCTGATTCCATTCTTTCAGGAGTTTGGTTTCACAATACACAACCATGAAATCTCACCTTTTCTTCTTTTAACAGCTGTTAAAAAGCCTGCACCAGCCCCTCCCAAGCCAGCTAACCCGCCGCCCGGGCAGCCCGGAAGCCAAAGTTCTGCCCCAGCTGCTCAGCCACCTTCTGTGTCTCCAAAACCACCTGCTAGAAGTTCTTCTCCTCCCGCTCAACATGCAAACCAAGGAACAGCCCAGACCTCCACTTCCCAGGTTTCTGCACCTCGGAGATATTCCAGCAGCCTTTCCCCAATACAAGCTCCCAGCCATCCACCACCACAGCCCCCAACTCAGGCTACTCCTCCACTGCAGCCCAAATCAAACAGTCAAGCATCTCCTCCTGCTGCACCCAGCAGTGAGCATGGACCAGAGCAACCCTGTTACACTCCTCCGCAGACTCCAACACCACCCGATACACCCCCTCTAGGAAAACATAATCCTAGTTCCCCAGCGTCACAGCCACAGCCATCTACTCAAGAAACCTCCCAGTCTCACTCTCCACCTCAGAGTGGTACACTGCCAAGGCCACGGCCGGTACCAAAACCCAGAAATAGACCTAGCGTTCCCCCTCCGCCTCATCCTCCTTCTCAGCTGGCTGGAGATGGTATTATTGCAAATCCCACACAAACAGCTTCCAAAATAGTAACAGGTGAGTGGATTCTTTCATATTGCATGTCTCCTCAGGGAGTGGAAATGAAGAAAATAATGTCTGTAGCTGTAAATTAATTGGGGGGGTGGGGGGAGACGGGACTGAAAACCACAAATGAAGAGTTAAAATACTAAATTGCCCATTTCCAGTTAAAATGCCCACCGGCCTGCTCTGTGCACGAGGATTGGGGGCACTTCCATAGTGAAGGTCTTCATTCCTGAGGCAGAAGAGTTTGGGGGAAAGTATAGATTAGCTTGTTTTGGGGGTTTTTTCCTGCTTTGGAAGCAAAACACTATTATAGCAAGTAACTCTCTAGGGCTTTCTCCAGGCTCAGCATCATGGCAGTCTCAATTACGCTTATACACCTGTTGCCAAAAAAACAAGTATTGGGAGGAGGTGTAGCCAAGGACAGTATATTTCAGCACATACAGGAGATAATAAAACACTAAAAGTAGTCTCCGATACGTGTTCTGATAGACAAGATGGTAACACAGTGAATGCTTCACCTTATGAGAATGGAGTCTTCTGATGCGCTTTTAACTCGGACATCCAGAAGCTGAAGAATTCCATACACTTAACTGTATATCTTAGGTTAATTTCTAGATAGATCTTCATATTTTAAATGCAGCCTTTATTTTTTTTTTTTCCTGTTTTGAGACGTTTGTGAAGTAAAGAGAAACTTTCTGTCTTCTCACAGGAACTTTGTGAAGCTTGTAGCTACTACTTCGATAGGGATAATGTTAATTTAAGTCTTGCGGGGGCTGGGGGGGAAGGTAACTGCTGAGGACACTCAAAACTAGCAGATCTTGAAATGTTCTCCTGCGAAGTCTCTGCTTATTTAGGAAATTCTGAAGGAAGAGATAACGAATGTAGGAGACTAATGCTTTTAAATCTACTTATATTTAATAATGGTTAAAATTTCCCAATGACACCGCTGCTTCTCTAGAATAAGACTAATGTATTGGAATGCAAATTATAAATTCTGTTGCCTAACAGCTTTACCCCATGATGCCTTCACAGGTGGGGATGGTTACTGCGAATAAGGTTTGTACTTAGCAGAAACATGCAATATAAGCTAAAACGCTCCTGCACAGCAATATTTTATTTGTAGCTTTATTTTGTATATGTGCTTTGGAATATGTGCTCTCCGTCAACTCTGTGTTACCTCATTACTACATATCATTCTGTTTGTAAGAGATTTTAAGACCTATGCTGCTTAATTTTAATAGTCCTGTGAAGATTAAGTTATTCCCTAAAATAAATTGTAAAAATAGCTATAATGAAGTGAACAATGCTTCATGCAAAGTCACCAGAACTACTAGTCCATAAGTCAAGTGTGAAGCAGTGACCCATTTAAAACAGGTTTGTTCTCATCAGTGCAGGCAAATATTGAAGCTTGTGGCTTTTCCTACAGTTCAGTGTTTTACAGTTCCATTTTAATATAGCTTTCACTTTAGGTTTTCAGTTATTTTTCACCACTTGGAATTTGGTTGTCAAAATACACGTTCACGTGACAAAGCCCCTTGCAGAAAAGCACCCAGCAGCATCTGCACTCTGGCATGTTTGCATTTGCATTCTGTCAGCTCCAGCCTCACTAATGGTACTAGTCTGTTCCACCGCAGCTGCCAGACGGCACGTTAATAAACTTGCTGTTCCTCTGTAACGGGTTAGAGATGCTGCTTTTTTAAGGTAACAACTGCATGACAGGCTGAAAAAGTCGAGGCTGCATTCCTGAATTATCTCCAGATCTCACTGCTTACAGGAAAGGATTGAGAAGTCAAGTGGGAAGTACAGTTTTCTTAAATTTGAGAAGCTAGCAGTAAACGAGCTGTTTAAGCAACTAAAAAGTAGCTTGGCTTTTTAAAATAACAGACTTTTCCTTATTGTACTTCTTTTTGTCAGTATCTTTAACATACAAGAGCAATTCCTTTCAAAACTGAATTCAGCAATATGGCTGGGGTCTGGATCTTTACAGCACTTACAAATAAGCTAAGAATGGGAACAGTGCTGATGAGTCGAACTTCAGGGAAGGACTGAATCTTAATTTCTAAGTTGTGTTTCGTAGCTTGAGCGTGTTTGTTTTCATTTGGGAATTTTTCTGGTTCTGAGGAAATTGCTTTAATGATAGCAGCCAGGCAGGATTTATTTCACCGTGATGTAACTGGAGGAATACTCAAATACTCGCCTTCTAAATACCGCCTAGCTGATATGCAGGGGGCTGCTCTATTAGTGGGGGGGTTTAAGTTGCACAAGGCAAGCATCTGCCATAGGGGAGAGATTGGCACAACTAGGACTGGATATGGGCTGTGAAGTACAACTAAGTTACAGGCATTACAGAGGTACCCAGCTCTCCTGTGGTCTGGGTAGATATAAAAAAATATTGAAATCAACAGTGGTAAAACTGGAGAGCCTTAGTATCGTTCCTTTCAAGTGCAAACCGTAGCAAATTGGCTGCCTAAGTTGTGTACTGTAAATAACAGTATGAAAGCTGCCATGCAGGAAAGCCAGTAAAGGAAAGCTGATGGTGAAGGATTCTTCAGCAAAACTGATAAAGGAACCTAGAAAATCTGGTATGTTTTGCAAAAAAAACCCAAACATCTGGGGAGCAATTGAAGTGATACCCAGGCTTACCTACAGCAGTACACTCAGTGCAGGGTCATCCACCTTTTCCAGGTCAATCTTTTTTTAAAGGATTAATAATTGTTCTGAATTAACACCACTGCATATTACATACGAGTATCTGCTCTAACATTTACACGTGCACATATAAGCACTTACTATAGACTGACTTACCTAATTCACAATGTGAAATAGCTGGTTTTCATTTTAACCTTAAATAGCGGAGCAGGGGAAGACAGATGGGCACAATGGAAGCCAAAATGAAGTTGCCAGCAAACGTCATAATGCCAGAACAAGAATTCTGAATTGTTTTCAGGATACTGTTGAATTCCTTTGTCCATGTACTGGACTTCAGTAACGCCTCAAATTCTATTTATGGTATTAAAGTAATAAGCCCGAGGAAAGAATATTCTAATCAAAAATTTTATTAAATAATCTAGATGTTTGACCTGCATTCAGTAGGAACTGTATTGGAAAGTTCAATGGTAAGGAAAAGGCATATGATTGGCCAAAAACGTTGCTAATTCGTAATCATGTGTGTGCTAATGCCCACTACTAACCTGTCACAAATAACCCTGCTTGCTTGCATCATCGTTAGCGTGGCATGCAAAATGAATGGCTGTTTGATGCTCGCTCTTACATTAACGTACTAAAAGTATTGGAGACTAGAATGTGTAAAGTTGTTTGTGTTTTGACCGGCCAGTTTCACGTTGTACTTTCTCCACGTACAGAAAACCCAATCTAGAAATCCATGTGTTCTACGCAGAGTTTCATTGTGTATTTGAAGTAGCTGTACCACTGTTTGTCACAAATACTTCTTCCCTGTCTCACTTCACGCCTTCAGTCACCTCCTTTTCCAATTCATCCTTCATTTTGCAGTCATGGCAGGGAGAATTTCTGTGCCTGCATCTAAAGTTGAAGTCCACCCTTTTGGACCATCCTTTCAATGAAAGTTCAAAGGTAGCAGGAGGTACTGGGAGATACTAGGGAGAGTGCGGTTCCTCTGCTGCTTGGTTCTGTGCTCATTTCGGAACTTTTTGAGTAAGGGGGAAATGCAAGAAGAATTTGGGAACCATCACAGCTTGTTCTTCTATGTAATATTGCTTCTGTTAGCAATAGTAAAAATGACTAAAATCAATCTGAAGTTTAAATCACCTGGCTTTAAAAGTCCTTAAGTTTTCATCTGTTGCCAAAACAACAGTTTCATGGTGTAGTTGGGATAAAGGAGAGCTGCTGATGTTATGAAACTTGGTTTCATGGATCAGGGACTTTAAACACACGAACGTGAGGCTAAGTGAAAAGGGTTGGGGTTACAGTAGCCCCAGTAATTATTTCTTCATTGCTACTGAAGGTCTGTTGAACAGTGACTGTCTTGTAGGTGCCACAGGGTTCACTGGCCGTAGTAACCTGGACACTGGTTTTCAAGATGAGAATGAGGGCTGGGGAGAGAAATGTATCGAAAAGATTCCCCCAAGACAATGGTGTATAATGAGTCATTGCAGAACCGATGGTTTGTTCTGTGCCTTCTGGATGATTTCATTTACCACCAAAATGCTATCTTAGCAGAATATGCTACTCCCCAAGACTGTGCTACAAAACTTGGGAGAAAATTTATAGTTCGCACCTCACAAGAAAACATAAATCCTGGTATCACACTTTTGGGGCAGTTGCAGCAGTAGGGATGAGAACATTTTAACTGTCCTGCGCCAGGCAAGCCCTTACCGCTCCCTACAACTGCCTGACAGGAGGGAGTAGTGAGGTGGGGGCTGGTCTCTGCTCCCAGGGAACGGGCGATGGGACGAGGGGAAATGGCCTCAAGTTGCACCAGGGCAGGTTTACATTGGACATTGGGAAAAATTGCTTCCCCGCAAGGGCTGTCAAGCCCTGGAAGGGGCTGCCCAGGTCGGGGGTCAAGTCCCCACCCCTGGGGGTATTTAAAAGCCAGGCAGCCAAGGTGCTTAGGGCCAGGGTTTAGTGGTGGGATGGCAGGGTTAGGGGAACAGTTGGGCTTTTCCAACCTGAACGATTCTGTGATTTGGTGTCAGGCCATGAGCTGAAGGAGTTCCAGCTGCTCCATCCGCAGGATCGATGCGTACAGAATGACAGCATGATGCGCAGGCTGGCCAGCTCTCCAGTGCTGGGCTGAGGGTGAAACAGGGGAGGCTGCGCTCGCACTTCAGTTCTGTGTCTGCTTTCGCCTCTTCCGTCTCCTTTTGCCCAGAAACATTCAACTTGAACATTTATAAAGTACCTTCTGGGCTAACTTTAAGACTTAATGCTTGAGATACGAGTCAAAGTCTTTATAGGCTGCTTCTCTATGCCACCTATGTTTAAAAGCAAGGTATTTATTGGATTCTTTATTGATTCAAGCAATCTAAATGAGTTTCTATTTGGATCAGCTGCTGCGCTGCAGTAAGTGATGTCGTGGTATGTTATAGATTAGCTTTCCAAAATACTGACTTCATATTTTCAGTTATGTTTTTTAACTGTTATGGATTTTCTGGTCTTCTAGCTACCAGGGCAGTCAGTCACCAGAAATGCAGCATTTTGAGGTCCTTCTTGGACACCTTGGCTTGAACAAAATTTTCCTCTCTTCAGAAGAGGCAAAGAACATGATGTTCCCTTCTGTACACAGGAAAGGGGTTTAATCTGCATTTGGTTTAAGTAATTTCTTCCTCTTCTTGTGGCAGTGCCTCCTTTTGATGCCATACGTGTTCCTATTGCTTCTGAAAGTCATTACTTGGCTGATGATTGAGGTGCCAAATTTTTTGCCGAGTGACCATTGTATTTTGACATGAAAGTCTGGAGTAACATATCACCCTTCAGGGGCGCTTGAGGAATCTGGTAATGAATCATACTTGCCATCTTCCATTCTTCAGAAAGAAATGTTTTTCTTTTATTATGTACAAGACTAAAAAAAAAAAAGGTAGGTAGGAGAAGCAACTCGAATGTAAGCTTCTTAGTTTGGCTTAGCCTTTTTGTGTCCATGTGCACATGTGTGCCAGCCCTCTCTTTGAGAAGCCTTTCATCTTTCCTTTCCCTTTTCTTTCTGAGGAAATGCACCAGAAATACCCTAGCAAACGAGATGTCGCTGTCCAGGCTGCTAAACCTGCTATTCTGTTTTTTGTGCAGACTCCAATTCCAGTATTCAAGAACCACTTCAAAACCCTTCTTCAGAGCTTCTTACAGAGACAGCGAGCAAAGAACTACACAACCATCTCGTGCTCGACCTTGACAATGATACGGAAAGCACTGCTCTGTAATGGAAACTCTCCCAACTTTTCCAAAGTTCCTCTCCTGGTGGGAAAACTAACAGACCTAACAGTGAAAAGCTTCTTTTGACGATATGGCAAAACTGTGCAGAGGTTGATTGGGGCATCACGGAGAAAGTGATTGAGCCATTCAGAAGAAGTTTAATGATCTGTGTCTCAACAATGGTTTTCAAAATCTTGGATGGAAGGAATTAATTACTGCAGAAACTTGCATAGGAAGCATAATTGCTGCTAATACAGATGGTATTAGCAGAAATTCCGAGAGAATAAGAAGCAGAGCATTAGTTATTTAAAGTGCATGTATTATGGAAATAATCTTTTTAATGTCATGGTTAGACTTTTACTTCTAGTTCTTAGACATTACAAGGAGATGCCTTGCGAGAGACATTCCCTCACTGATTTGCTGCAGATTCTTTTTAAAACGTGAACCAAAAAATGCCAGAGCGCTGGTGGTGACTGCTGGTTATCAGTCACCTTGTCAAAACTGTGGGTGTATTCTAGTGCCTTGAAGGACTGTCATACTGTAGAATGAAACCTATTGTATCTTTAATCATTTCATTGCTACTTAACGATCAGTACTTCATACTTATTTCATAGTTATTTGTATTAACCAAGCCTGCTTTTGTTTATGTGAAACTTGCAACTGTTTCAAGACGAAACTGTGGAAGTGTTTTTTTGTGCTTTCATTGAAAATGGTTGAATTTTGAAAGAACTTTGAAACAGCTGTTTGGATTTGTCAGTTGGGTGAACATTTATAAAATTAAAGATTGTCTTTTGTCAACTTAAGGCATATTTATTCAAGTTTGTGAGTAAACATTGCTCCCAGTGGACATTGAAGGTTACGCAGTCCTTCCTGGGCTTTTGTAGCTCATGAGTCGCCGGCTGCTCAGCTCGTTCTTTTTTTAGGACTGTAGTGGAAGCATGCTGGGAATGACTATGTACCTATTCTTTACTGTGCAGATAAACACAAGTGAGTCCAGCTGCAAAGAGAAACACTGGATACAGCCCGTATCATGCCGAGAAATGAGCTGGGACAGGCCATACGCTTTCTGCAAATGAGAGGGAGGGAGAGGAAACTAGTCAGTTGAGGTAACGTTCGTATAACTAGTTGAATGAATTTACTTAAATTCCTTAACACTCAATAATACATTTTATTGAAGTTATTAAACTAGAGTTGAGGCTTAACTACAGAATAAAACTGCGTTTCGTAAAGGTCTTGACAAGACACGTTGTGCTTGGTGACTTGATAAATACATTTTAGTCGCTATCTTGTTGATGCCCCAGTTTGAAATACCAGTTGCTGCCCAGTTTTTTCCTGCTCAGCCACCTCTTAGCAGGGATGATGACCCCTGCTAGTGGGTGTAGACTTCTCTGTCCTGACACCAGCACAGCAACAAACTTGTTACTCAAAACTGTGTTACGAGTCACAAATTCTAGTTCTGTTCCTAAATTTTGTGTTTATCTCTCAAACTGTATGCAGCGTACCTGAATCCAGGGTAGGCTGTGAAGGACTTAAATAAATTCTCAGAAAATCTTCTGGACTTGCACATTCTTCAGCATTATACAAATAGTTAATTGTCTCTGCCGGGATTAGCAGCTCGGGTGCAAGAGTGTGTACGGTCTCATTCGTATTCTCGCTGTCTTCCTGGATAGTAAACAGCGTATTTCAGCACAGTTACAGTAAGAGCGCGGGGCTATGACACAGTTAAAGCTGAGGAAGTTTGTCCTCCTCCACCAAACACAAGCGTATCCTATGTTCCCCGGGGCGCACAGCAATGAGCAGGGGCAGGAAGTGATGTAAAGTATGAGCTCCATGGGTGACTCTCACCTGGCTTGGAGCCCTGTCGGTGCACTTGATTAGCTCAATCAACTGGCTGCACAAAGTAATCCTACAGAGGTCTAGAAAGAAACTTGGAATAAAATAATGAGGTTTTATAATGCTTTAATGCTGCTTCTAGAGTCCGCTCAGGTGTATATGCTTGTAAATCCTGCTTGAAAGACAAGTGCGGCTGCTTGCTGGTGTGGTCTGGGGGGGTTTATGGAGGGTAAACCAGGTAAATTTCTTACAGCCCAGTTATTTGAAGTTTACCTCCAAATTTTGAATGCAGGCTGCCACTTTGAGTAGGAGGGTAAGGCATTCTGCGACCACCTCCACTGTAGACTGCGACTGCATCAAGCCTTGCGGACACGTCATGGGAGACGCTGCTGTTGCCACGTACCAGTCTGGGAACAGTCTGCTGGGGATGTTATGTGCCACCACTAAAACTTTAATTTCCTGGAGTAAAGCACTGAGTGGAAAGAGAGTGAATTCCATCCTAAAGTATAGCAAGGAGTTTTTATCAGATGATGGAGTTTCATAAACTATGCAGTGAGTTGTTTGCATTCCTAGAGCTACACTAGAGCATTGTGTGCATACAGCATGGTTCCCGACAGCGGAAACTTTTTCTAATTGAACTCTGATGTACCATGCAAGGGTCTCAAGCAGACAAAAACGACCAGAAGAGCAGTAAGAGCTCAGTAAGCAAGTGCAGGCATGTGATGGTAGCTTGCTTGGATAGGAATTCCATTTGCAGCTAAGAAAACGATGCAGCTTTCATGAACCTGGGTTTCAGGGGGTTAATACAGGGCCCTAGAGAAACACCCAGGTTAAGTTAAAGACAGTAATTGGCTGAGCTCTGTGGGACCGGGTAGGTAGTGGTGACAGGACAGGCTGGAAGGCAGTGACTAATTCTCTAAAGATAATTTTTGGAATTCCAGTACATAGATCTACAAATGTTTACAAAGCAGGGTACGGAAATAACAGCCGATTCCCAAGGAAGGGATTTTCCTACTTTCTGAAGCCTATGAATGCTGTTGACAGTTGAAGTTTTGGTGTCTTGAAGACAGACTCTGATGCAGGGGGCTGGGCAAGGGCCTGCTGGCAGCTGCTGACTGCATCCAGAGATGTGTTGGCTAGAAAATGTCAGCTCCTCTGTGGTCAACAGGTATTCAATGGGAGAATAAAAGCTTGATATAATGATAGCTAATGTTCAGTTTCACCTCGGGGAAGCACTCTACCACTTGGGCTAACACTGTGTTTCATCCAAGTGATAAGAAACACTTACCTGTGACCTTGATTTTGGAGAGAAGCTAAATCTTGGACGATGAGATGGATTGTGCTACTGCAAGACTACAGAGGAAAGGGCAGAGTTTTTACAGCATTGCGTATTACAAACTGATTTGTGAATATAAAAATAATCCATCAGCTGCCCTACATGGGCTTTCCCGTTGAGTCACAGGCACTGAGGACAACGCCTGTTGTTCCTGTTACATCTGATAGAACGTGTCATCTCGTTCTGTCAGAATAACATCCTGGGGCAGTTACCTGAAGCGTGGGGTGGAGGGAACCCCAGAGGTTAAGCTACTGAACGCACCACAGCGTTATTCAGGTCTTTAAGCCTACATATGGAGTGGTTCTAAGTCTAGTTAGCTGGGCTTTGCACAAGCCAAATTTATGCAAAGATGAATCAAGGTTACATGATCCCACTAGGAATTTATGTAACTTACCTCTACTACGTGAAAAATATAGCTGGGAGAGAGAAGTAGCAGACCCGAGACTTGTTCTCTTGAGTGGTCTTCCAATGCATTTTCAAACAGCTCTCTGTGATAACCTTGTTTCAAAAGGAAAACTGGCAGTTTGTCAAGTGGTTTACAGCGATAGTTCCAGCAAGCTGGCGGTGTGTGGTCTGTTCTGTGTTTTCTCTGCAGCCAGGGACAACAGATTCACAGATTATGCTTTTGTTGTTCAGAAGAAACACGAAAGCATTGCTACCATGGGAATTTCTTCCTGACGTACGCAGCAATGCAAGTCATGTTAGCTCCTAAAACTGCACCGAAACCTGCAGTATTGCAGTAGCTGAAGTCTGAAATCTCCATTAGCATTTGTTTTACTCTCAGGATGCAGCTTCATCTTTGTTGCTACAGACAGAACACCTGAAGGCCCCAAACGCAGAGCATATCAGAAGTCTTGCACGTGCAGCTGAACCCTTGCCTCTGCTTGACACGGGCGCTAGCTGATACGGGTGTTAAATAAATTGTCTTAATATATCTCACTCATCAGACAAAGCATTTGATAGTCCTTAGCTGCCTGAGAAAGTCATACATCAAATTGGTTGCAAAAACAATACCAGACTTTAAAGTCTCCCTCAAGGTTGCTAACAGAATCATGGAATGCTTTGGGTTGGAATGGAGCTGTAGAGGCCATCTGGCTCAATCCCCTGCAGGGAGCAGGGACACCTTGAACCAGACCAGGCTGCTCACAGCCCCGTCCAACCTGGCCTGGAATGTTCCCAGGGATGGGGCCTCCACCACTAATCTGGGCAACCCGTGCCAGTGTTTCACCACCCTCACTGTAAAGGATTTCTTCCTTATATCCAGGCTAAGCCTACCCTGGTTTAGTTTAAAACCATCACCCCTTGTCCTGTCACAGCCGGCCCTGCTAAAAAGATTGTCCCCACCTTTCCTCTGGGCCCCCTTTAAGCCCTGAACGGCCGCAATCAGCTCTGCCCACAGCCTCCTCTTCTCCAGGCTGAACAACCCTTCTGGGCTGCCAGCGCACATGGCCAGCTCATGTCCAGCTTTTCCTCCCCCAGCACCCCCAGGTCCCTCTGGGCAGGGCTGCTCTCCATCCCTTCATCCCCCAGCCTGGGTGGGTACCGGGGGCTGCCTCCACCCAGGGGCAGGACCTTGCACTTGGCCTTGTTGGACCTCATGAGGTTCACACATTTGTAACATATCATATCATATAACTGTATAATAGTTACATAATAGTTGTGTTTCCTTTGCTCAGGAAGGATTCCCAAGTGACAAAACTCTCTGGATGATTTAACAAAACACTGTTTTCTTGGTTTATGGGCCCCTACGAGGCTTTTGCGTGTCCCCGCACCGCACCGCCTGTACGTGACTCGGCGCGCCGCCCGTGCCATCACTTCAGGTGGCGTTTGCTGCAGCTGCCCAACGTTACCGTTCCGGTGTTCTCAGGAATCCCAGCACAGCTGAGCGCCCGCACCCGGCT